TTGAAATTTCTTTGTCCAGGGCTGTCCGCCGTCCAACAGCTGACCATACTTTGGGTCCCCTGTTCCGGTGCCACTTGACCCGTCCTGCGGGTCAGTCATTCAGGGTTCTGAAGGGGGGCTGCCTGAAAGAATCATGGGCGAGAGAAGGGAAGGAGACCAAGTGCGCAAAAGAGGGGACCAGAGTCCATCTGTGCAATTGTCAAGGTCTCGATTTATTGGAGCTCAGAGTGGGCTTATATAGCCCTGCAACAAGGAAATTGGGTAAGCGGGGTGGGATAGCAAGAAGGAACATCTGGTATTTGCTGGGGCTGGGACCTTCTTGCGGTATCTTCGAAACAGCAGGCAGAAAGGCCACACCTTTTCTCAGAATGCAGTCGTTATCAGTCCTGCTTGGCCAAACTTATCTAATTATGGGTCACATGAGGCTCACAGAGTTGTCTTTAAGCTGCAAACTTTAAAGGTCATAAAAAGCTTGCAAAAGGTGGGCTTTTAAACCTCATAGTTTAGGGTCCATGGCCCTTAACAATATGTCCCACATCTGGCATTGATATTTTCAGTTAATAGTTGTCCACTGATACAGGGTAGCTTCATTTAAACTCCTCCTTTACACACACACACACACACACACACACACACACACACACACACGAGTAGAAGGGAGGAGAAATGGGTTTTCATAAAGTTTCTTCACACATCCTTATGTTTGGTTGAGCCACTTCTCAATATTCCTGCCTGACCCACCCCCCATGGCCCTGCTCAAGCCTTTAACCCCCTATACTCCTTTTTTGGTTTTTTTGAGATTATAATATAATCACAACATTTCCCTTTTCCCTTTCCACCCTTCAAACCCTCACATATACCCTTCCCTACTCTACTTCAGATTCATGGCCTCTTTTTTTTCATTAATTGTTATTGCAATTTCTAAATATAACCCTCTTAGTCCATATAATGTTACATGTATGCATATTTTCAGAGCTGACCATTTGACACTGGACAGCCAATTGTTGTGCCTTTCACTGGGGAGGACCACCTCTCGCACCCCCAGCTTCATGGGTTGCCTATAGTCTTGTGTATGGTTTAGGCCTCATAGGCTTTTCCCCCATCCAGTTTTGCATGTCTATTGGTATCAACCTTGTCCAGCTCACATTTGGGCAGTCATATTGGTAACCTGCCCTACATTTATGTCACATGTGTTCTGCATTCTCTCCCCAACTTAAGTCATCTTCTCCTCTTTCTACCATGAGCCCTCTCCAGCTTCCTTACCACTGCAGACACTACAAGTTGAAGAAACAAAAAAAAAAAAAAGAAAATTCAAAGCTAAGCTAAGATCTACATGTGAGAGAGAACATGTTATTTACCTTTTGGGGCCTTTTCCAGTTCCATGCACTTTCTTGTAAATTTAATTTTTTTACAGCTGAATAATATTCCATTGTGTCGATGTAGCATATTTTATTATCATTCGTCAGTTGGTAGACATTTAAGCTGATTCCATTTCCTATTGTTAGTAGAGCAACATGAACACAGATGAATGAGAAACACTGTAAGAGGATTGGAGTCCTCTGGGTATGTGGTATAGCTTGATCATATGGTAGTTCTATTATTGGTTTTGTGAGAAACCTCTATATTGACTTACAAAATGGCTGTACCAATTTATACTCCCACCATCAGTAGGTATTTCTGCCCCACACCTTGGACAGCATTTGTAATCTTTCCCTTACTTGATGATAGCCATTCTGACTAGGGTGAGGTGAAATCTCAAAGTAGCTTTAATTTGCATTGCCCATAATAACTAAAAATGTTAAAGACTTTTTAAATATTTATTAGCCATGTGTGGCTTTTATTGTTTTGAGGGCTTTCTGTTCAATTCCACGAGCCAATTTTTAAAATTGGATTGTTACCTACCTGCCTAGTTTCCTGAGGGTTTTTTGTTTGTTTTGTTTTGCAAATTCTAGATCCTAATCATCTGTTGCATGTCCAGTCAGCAAAGATTTTCTTCTGCTCTGTAAGCTGCCTCTTCACTCAACTGACAGTTTTCTTTGCTCTTTCGAAGCTTTTACTTTTATGAAATCCCATTTGCCAATTATTGGTCATATTTCTTCAGAGGATGAAGTTCTTCCCATTCAGAAAGTCCTTGCCTATGCCTGTGTCTTGACATGCATGCTACTCTTTCCTCCATCAGTTTCAGTGTGTCAGGTCTTACACTGAAATCCTTGATTCTTTTGGAGTTAATGTTTGTGCAGGGTTAGAGACAATGAAAGGTCTAGTTCATTCTTCCGTATGTTGATATCCAGGGTTCACAGAATCATTTGTTGAAGATGCTTTCCTTTCTCCAATGTGTATTTTCAGTGCCTTCATCAAAAGCCAGGCAGCTATAGTTGCATAAAGTTATATCTGTTTTCTATCCTATTCTATCGATACATACATATCTGGGTTTTTTGTCCAGTATCGTGCTGTTTGTATTACTGTGCCTGTATAGAATAAATTGAAGCCAAACATGGTGATACCTTCAGTTGTATTCTTTTGGCTCAGTCTTTTCTGTGACTGTGAAGAAAAATGCTGGAACTTTGGTTGGGATTGCAGTCATTGTGTTTGCTTTTATATGAACTACCATTTTTGTAGGTTTGATTCTTCTGACCCATGAACATGACAGTATTTCCATCTTCTACTGTTTTCCTCAGTTTCCCTCTTCAGTGCTTTAAAAGTTGTAATTGCAGAAGTTGTTCAAGTCCTAGGTTGGTTTTATTCCAAAGCTGGGCCTTTTTTCCCTTTCTTTCCTTCTTTCCTTCCTTCTTCCTTCCTTCCTTCCTTCCTTCCTTTCTTTTTCATTTTCCTTCTTTCCTTTTCTCCTTCCTCCTTCCTTCCTCCCTCCCTTCCTTCCTTTCTCATTGTTATCTGTTTGTTTTGAGGCTATTGTGACTGGAATTACTTCTCTGATTTCTTTTAAGTATTTTTGTCATTGGAATTTAGGAAGGCTACTCATTTTTGTATGATGATTCTAAGAGTTTTTTGATGAAATCTTTATTTATTTCTTAGTTATAGAATTATATCATCTGCAAATAAAGGTATTTCAACTTCTTTTTCTCTATTTGTATCCTTTTACAAATGTATTATTATTATTATCTATGTGAATGCATGTGCACATGTGAGGGTGGGTGCCTACAGAAACCAGAAGATAGTGTCATATTCCTTAGAGCTGGAGTTACAGAGGTTTGTGAATCACTTATGGGTGCTGTGATCTGAATTCTGGTCCTCATAGTTGAGCAACAAGTGCTCTTAACTAAGTCACATCTCCAGCCTTTATATCCCTTTTATTTGCTTCTCTTGTCTAATTGCTATATATAGATTTCTGGTACTAATTAAATAAGAATGGAGAAAGTAGGAACCCTGGTCTTGTTCCAGAATTTACTGAAAGTGCTTTTTAGTTTTTCACCATTTAAAATATTTTTATTGTAGTAAGTAGATCTGTTTAAGTTGTTTGTCTCAGCTTGGTTTAATTTGGTCACCTTTACCCATCCATTGCTGTTAGATTTTCAAATGTATTGAAATATAAGTTTTTAAGATAACTAATGATTCTCTGAATTTCATTGATATCTGTTGCAATGGCTCCATTTTAACCTCCAGTTTTACTAAATTGTGTGTGTGTGTGTGTGTGTGTGTGTGTGTGTGTGTGTGTGGTGAGATAGACATGTAAGCACCATGATACCCATGTAGAGGTCAGAGGTCCTCTCCTTCCACTGTGTAAGTTCAGGGTATCAAACTCAAGTAATTGGGTTTGGTAGAGAGTCCCTTTACCCTGTGAGCCACCTTGCTTGCATTCTTTGGTTAGTTTGGCTAAGCGCTTGTCAACCCCAGTTTTCAAAGAACCAACTCTTTGTTTCCTTTATTCTTTGTATCGTTTTGTTGTTGTTGTTGTTGTTTGCTACTGTGTCATTAATGTCTGCCTTGATCTTTATGATTTATTTCACCTACTGACTTTTTCCAGGGCCTCTGAGAGTTTTAGGCTAGCCTGATCTACACAGTGAGACTCCATCTAAAATAAACTATAAAAGATTGGTATTATTTCTGTGCTATAAAAGAACACTACTCATATTTTAGTGACCACATCATAGCAGATGTTTGGCTAAGCATTTTGAATACATTTATGCAATTTTCAAGTCTCTCAAAATCCCCAAATGGAAATTCTGTTGGTCTTGAGATACAAATTTCAGAAACTAAGCTTGCCAAGTGTAATACCTCATATCATCTCAAACCATAGGGGGGCACAGTATTTAAACTCAGACATTTCTGACTCTAATGCCTACTTGTTGTTTACACACTATGCTGGAATCAGAATGGATATGAGAATCAAAAGTATTTTTAAAAGTACTCATTCTTACCCTAAGCAAATATAATCAAACTTACTTGAATAATAAAATTATTATAGGCTATAGATTAACAAAGCTAACATTGTTTTTATGAGCCTATTCCATCAAAAAGTAGAAGGACTAGGGCCTGGAGAAGTCAGTCAGTGATTGAGAGTACAGACTGTTCTTTAGAAGATGTGGCAGTTCACAAACATCTGTAACTCCAGGTCAATGGGATCTTACTCCCTCTTCTAGTCACACAAGTGGTACACAAATATAATGCAGGAAAATTACCCATACACACAAAACAGTTAAAATTCAAAACAAAAAAAATATATGGACTATAAGCACATGTGAGTATCAGCAGATCTTACTCTTTTTCTAAGTAATTTTGGGAACAGTCTGTAAGACTCCAGTCTATATGTAAAACAAAACATTGTGAAGTTATCTGTATTTTATCCACAGCATTTTTGTATTGGTGTTGGGTAATCACAAATAAATAATAAATGTGCTATAATAACTTTGTCATAGAAAAAATGGTGATACATTGAAATTCTTAAGAGGTGGGTGGTGAATTTTTGCTATGCCTTCATTCCAGGAGGTATGGACTGGATTCGGAAGTACAGTGGTGCTTACTACATTTATTTCGGTTTGCAGGCTGAAGAGACAATGAGAAAAAGCTTTCAACAGCAGTTAAGTGATGCCATAGCTGTTATCAGAGGAACGTACAAGGTGGGTTTTGAACGCTGCCAAGGACAAGGCTTTGGCATGCAAGCTTTGGCTCCTGCATGGGCAGGGAGTAGAGCTCACTTTGAGTTCCTAGTCTCTACTTTTATCTCTACTATTAGCTTTGAAGGTATGTTTCCTCAAATTTCAGGTCATCTCAGAGAATTTGGGCTTAGACTGATCATGCTCACATTAAGTATACCAAAATAGCACTGTATGATGACAAGGCAAAACTTCTAGGAACTGGAAAATTGCACTCATTTCCAGAGCACGCGGGCAAGTAGCCAAATCATCTGAAGTTCTGTGGTGAAGGTGCAACTGGACAGAAGAAAGTCAGATAGTCATAATACTAGAGTCATAAACACCAGTGATGCAGTGACCTCACTAGTGACAGGGTACTGCTGTGTGCTCAGGATGGTGCTTCACTCTCTCACACAGTGGGAAATGCATGCTTTCAAAGATGATTTTTAGACTTAGCAAGCACCTGATGCCTCTCTTTGTATTAAAGCTACAATCTCATCTTTCGTTTTCATATGCTTTGATACATAATTATTTATACTTATGGCTGACTGGCACAGTGGTCACTGAATGGCATTTGGCATGTCTTCATTTAACTATGTAACTGCATGTTGCATGCTAGAAGATAAGGATGGTGCCTTTCTCATTGGGGTGGCCCTTCTCTTAGCTCTATGCATGACTCATGGCTGAGCATCAGTTAGTACCCCTGAGTGGACGCTTTCCAGAGACTGTTGTGGATTTTGGTGTTGCTCGCTTCTCACCCATTCTCACCAACTGCACATCCTCTCCTCTTCTTTACCAACTTTATAGACTGTGAAAATATTATTTCCACTCTAGGTTTCCTTTTAGCAGTGCCCTGACCAATGGGACACCAGGTGGGTTGCCGTAAGGCTTAGAGGAAAGGATTTGTGCTGATTCAAGAAATTTGCCTTAGTTTGCCTTCTATTGCTGTGACAGACACCAAAACCAAAAGCAACCTGGAAGGAAAGAGTCCATTCAGTCTTACAGCTTACAGTCCATCATCAAGGAAGTCAGGACAGGAACTCAAGGCAGGATCCTGGAGGCAGGAGCTGAAGCAGAGGTCATGGAAGAGTGTTGCTTACTAGTTTGCTCTCCATGGTGAGCTCAGCTTGCTCCATTATACAATCCAGTAACACTCAGTGGTCTTGGCTCTCCCATATCAATTATCAATCAGTAAAATGCCCCACAGATTGGCCTGATGGAAACTTTTCTTTTTCAGTTGAGATGGCTCCTTCCCAGATGAATGTAGCTTGTGTTAAGTTGGAAAAAAAAAAAAAAACAGAATCCATAGGAGAAAATGTCACCCCTTTCCCTTTTTTACATTTATTTGTCTATTTATTTATTTATTTATTTGTTCATTTGTTTGTTTATTTATGGTGGTCATAGGACAACTTTATGGAGATAGGTCTGTCCTTCCACCTTTATGTGAGTTCTAAGAATCAAATTTGGGGCATCCAACTTAGGTGACAGGGACCTTGACCTGCAGAGTCGTGTTCCCAGCCTTTCCATCTTAATTTTGAGGCAGGATCTTTCACTAAACCTGGACCTCACTGTTCCGTCTAGACTGGATTGGCAGTGAGTTCCTAGGATTGACCTGTCTGCACTCTCCCATGGGCCAGGGATATTACAGACATGCAGCCGTACTCAGCTGTCCTGAGCATGCAGAAGATCCAAACACAGGTCTTCATGCTTCTGAAGTAAGTCCTTTATCCATCTTCCCTAGCCCAGGTCCTCCTTTTACTTTGTCACTTTCTATTGCTATGTCACTTTTTGGTAGGTAGAATGGTTACAGCAACCAGAGGACTGAGTTTCATTGTGAGTGCTGAAGTGACAAGGTTGAAAGACAGCCGGTCCCTAGTGATGCTGCTAAGCAACTGGTGTAACTTGCCCTTTTGCTTACAATAATAACCCTCATCTTTAAGCCACTGCTAGATGACTCTTCAGTTACTTGCAGGTAAAAACTTCCTGGAGACAACTGCTTTGTAAACAGTCTTTGTGCCTCTGTGCCAACCATGTTTCTAGGTGACCTCATGCTGCTGTGTCCCACTCACCTGCTCTTCTGCAACGTTGACACTGCTTCCCTCCGAAGCAAGGCCAGAAGAAATCTTGAAAGTTACCTTCAGACTCTAAGAAGGCAGGCTCTCTGCACTGTCTTTCTCTGAGCTCAGCTGCCATGCTGAAAGAAGCTTAATCCATATAGAGAGTCTGGCTGTGGGTACTGGATATCCAGGCTCACCTGGGTCCAAGTTTTTCATCTCTAAACTCCAGCATCTCATGTATGGGTAGAGAAATGTCCAGATGATATCAGCTACTAGCAGTTAGAATCCGTCCGTGTGAGGGAGGCTATGGACCTGTGCACCCTCTGCTACACAACAACTCTGCCATTGCTGTCCCAATTTCCTCCCCTAGAATGCCACATCAACATGATAAAAATCTGTGTTTTATGTTGCTACCTTTGGGAAGGTGTGTTATGCATTAGATGATAAATACAATAGGATCCTTCTGTTCACAGCAACATTCAATTTCTTGGTTGTCAGATTGCTTTGCTCATGGTTTTCTACTTGCACTGATTAGCTAAGAGTCAGCATAGTGCATGTTTTAGAGCAAGTGCTACAGAGGTAAATAGCCTGAGTTCAAATCCTGGCTTTGCCACTTTATTGCTATGTGACTTTGGGTAAAGTACTTGATGTGCTGCTTTGATTTTCTCTGCTGTAAAATGAGGATAACAATAGTCCATACTACACAGATAGGCATGCTCCAAGAGAAAGACCAATGGATCTTTAGCAAAGCATTTAGAACCATAACAGGGCAGATAAATCTTAGTGTTAAACGGATAGCTGCACATACACATAGTCCTCTTGTCTTAGTGTTGCTGTAGTTTCCTCTTTCTCAATGGTCTTGACCTTCTGCCTACTGACTGAGAATAAGATAAAATGCCCATTCATATTTGTTATGTTGAGTCAGATGAAATTCCCATTTGGGGAGGCAAAAAAGCAAGTAACTCATTTATGTGGTACCTGGCTTAAATAATTACAATTATTTTAATAAATCTAAAGCAAAGAAAGCAATAAATCACATGAGAAATGTATTTTTAGTAAAACATATCTTGGCATACGATATTTTCAAATGAATGCTCTGTGGTATGATAAGCTGGGTACCAATGTTATAGAGATGGGGTAGGGGTAAACAGAGAGGGAGATCATAAACAAATCACAAAATATAGTGGGTATGTGCAGATAAGCAAACATAGTAGGGATTTATGGGAAAACCATAAATGAACAGTTATTTCTGCTCGTGAACTTTGCGACGACATCGTTGAGAAGCTAATACTTGTGCTGAAACAAAGTGCTCAAAGCAGATGGGCAAGAAATCTAATGAGAGTCCAGAAAGACAGTTATACTAGCATATATTGGAATATTTTTGGTGGCAATTGATAGAAATGTAACTTACTTGGTATTAACCCCTTCCTCAAGCTGGCCCTAGCACTATACCCAACCCTACTTAAGTAAAAGTGGTTGAGCAAAGTGGGTCCCCACATCTAATAGCACGTGAAAGAGAAGCTGGGACCTGACCAGACCTGTACATTGCCACTGTCACTGGGTGTGGCATTGGCCCATGAGGTAGCTACTGGTCACCTGTGGCTTCTTAGATTGACATGAATAATTCAATCCGTTACTTTTATCTTTTGAGGTCCTGATATGTCTCTCAAAGTGATATTATTAATGATAAGTGGTATTATTAACAGATAATAGGAGGGATTTATCTCACAGCCCTGTATTCTAAGTGAGTTTTCTTGCTGGCTAGATGCTAAGTCCAGTCATGTCTAGGCATCCTTTCTGGTTCACTTACCTTAAATGTTGGAATTAAGTTTCTTCTACCCATTTTCACCCTGTGGAGAGTAAGTGTTCGAAAGGCATCATCAGCATCTGAAGAATACAAGACACAGTATGTTAAGCAAAATCCTCACAGTCATGGGGTGGATAGTGATGGAGCTGGGAGTCAATTCTTATGTCTCTAAAGTCATTCATTCTATAGACCACAGGGTTTCCTACGCAAGAGGAAGAGAGGGTGGTCACTTCTGTAACTATTTCAAACAAGACACTGGACAAAAGGAGAAAGGTGGGTTTTTTTCCCCACTGAGTAATATTCCATTGTGTAAATGTACCACATTTTCTACATCCATTCTTCAGTTGAGGGGCATCTAGGTTGCTTCCAGGTTCTGGCTATTACAAACAACGCTGCTATGAACATAGTTGAACATATGTCCTTGTTGTATGAATGTGCATCTTTTGGGTATATACCCAAGACTGGAATTGATAGATCATAAGGTAGACCGATTCCCATTTTCCTGAGAATCAAGAATCAGCCATACTTCTTTCCAAAGGGGCCGCACAAGTTTGCACTCTCCACCAGCAATGGAGGAGTGTTCCTCTATCTCCACATCCTCTCTGGCACAGACTGTCATTGGTGTTTTTTATTTTAGTCATTCTGGCCAATGTAACATGGTATCTCAGAGTTGTTTTGATTTGCATTTCTCTGATGGCTAAGCATGTTGAACACTTTCCTAAGTGTCTTTTAGTCATTTTAGATTCCTCAATTGAGACTTCTCTATTTAGTTCTGAACCCCACTTTTTAATTGAATTGTTTGGTGTTTGGTGACTAGCTTCTTGAGTTCTTTGTATATTTTGGAAATCAGCTCTCTGTCAGATGTGGGATTAGTAAAGATCTTTTCCCATTCTGTGGACTGCCATTTTGTCTTGTTGACTATGTCTTTTGCCTTACAGAAGCTTTGCAGTTTCAGGAGGTCCCATTTATTAATTGTCAATCTCAGTGTCTGTGCTACTGATGTTATGTTCATGAAGTGATCTCCTGTACCAATTCATTCAAGGGTACCTTCAATTTTCTTTACTAAGAGGTTCAGTGTGGCTGGATTTATGTTGAGGTCTTTGATTCTTTTGGACTTAAGT